CCGGCATGCACATGGCAGCTAAGAACCATGTATAATTCTAGTTCCAGGGGCTCTGATGCTCTCTTCTGGCCTCTGTGGGCAGCATGTGGTGCACATACATACATGCAGGCAAAACACTCATACATATAAAACAATAAAAATAATAATTCAAGCTATTCATATTGGCACCATAGTATCGGACTAAGGATGGAGCAAACATATTCTTTGATCTACTCTAGTACATTCAAGTCAGTTATAAACGAACTCTTCAAAGAATCTCGGAAATGTCAGCAGTTGCAGCACTACATTGCCAAATGCTCTCGCTGTAACCATCTTCCTGTTCCTCTTGTAGAGTCTAGTGCTTCACTCCCCCATCCATTTAAAAAATATTTTATTATTTTTATTTTATGTGTATGAGTGTATTGCTTGCATGTGTGTTAAGTGCACCCGTGTCGTGCAATGCGTGTGGAGGTCAGAGAGGGCGTCAGATCCCCTGGAACTGGAGTTATGAGCAGTTGTTAGCTGCCGTGTGGGTGCTGGGAACTGAACCTGGGTCCTCTGCAAGAGCAGCAGTGCTCTTAACGCTGAACCAGCTCTGCAGACCTGTCACTCCCCAACCCCCACTCATTATTAATTTTCAGCTCATTCTATACACCTGGTCTGGGTTTGGTTTTTTGAAACAGGGTCAGTAGCCTTGAACTCCGTGTGTAGGCGAGACTGGCCTGGATCTGAGACCTGTAGCTCCATACCCGGCTTTAAATCCACCTTCTGGGCTGGAGGGGGCGCTGTAGCCCCCTCCGGCCTCTCTAGGCTCCGCCCTCATCTCTTTGGTCTCGGCGGGTTTCCTCCCCAGGTCTAGGAGCTGAGGGAGAGTGCGCGTGCGCTTCGCTTCCGGAAGGGGGCGCGCGTGCGCAGAAGTGCCCAAACCGAGAGGGGGCGTTACCGGAAATGTGCGGTTGCCATGTAATATCCCGGCCGCGCGTGCGCCTGAGCTGGTCGGGGCGGGCGCGCGGAGCTGACGAGCGGCTGTAGCTGAGGACAGAGTTCGGTTCGGCGGGGAAGCCTGAGTCCGGGCGGGAGGCCGGACGGCGCAAGAGACGACATGTCGGTGGCGGGGCTCAAGAAGCAGTTCTACAAAGCGAGCCAGGTGAGGCGCCGGCCGGGGTGGGGCGATCCGGTTCTGGCTTCGGGTGCGAACCCCAAAACCGAGCTGCCACCTTCACTCCCTCCGCTTGCCATCAGAAGGGGAAGAGGGAACCCAGGTACCCAGGGTGTGCAGCCAGGACTCCCCACACACAGCCCAGGGGTGTGAAAAAAGTACTAGATTGCTCTGTTAAAAAAAAAAAAACAGAAACTTGATGAGGCGGGCGAGAGGGCTCGTGACTGAGTGGGGGCTTGTCGCCAAGCCTGACACCCTGAGTTCAAATCCCTGGGGTCCACATAGTGGAAGGAGCGCATCCCACATCTCCAGGCTCCCCACTGAAAATGTACCAACATGGAGATTGCCTTCAAAAGTCTCTTGCAAAGATGGCTGAGCCAGGTAAAGGGGCTTGCCGCAAAGCCTGAGGACCTGAGTCAGATTGTGGTGAAAAAAGATGCAACTCCCCAAAGTTGTCCTCTGACTTCCACACCAGTACCACCCTCCCCTCCCACCCCACCCCCAGACACAAAGGTAAAAAGAAAATAAAATTAGAGTAAGCTGGATGTGCGAGGTGCAGCACGCCTTTAAATCCCAGCACTCAGGAGACAGAGGCAGGAGGATCAATGTGGTCTACATAGGGAGTTCCAGGCCAGCCAGGGCTACATGAGACTCTGTCTCAAAAGCAAATAGAAATTCTCAATACTTTAGAACGTTGGAAGGGGACAGTGAAAAGTCCGTTTCCAGGCTCCCCTGGTGACAAGGACTGCCCTCAACTGCCCCGTCCCCATTTCCAAAACATGTTTGTGTGTTCAAAATGCACCCTTTGGATTCCTGTGTTCTGGGTCCTTTGGGGTCCTTTGTGTCCAGTTGGAGCTGGAATTCTGTGCCGTTTAGCCATGTGCTTTGGGGGCGTGGAGGGTGTCCCGGGCACTGTTGGGTCACTGAACACTGAGGGTCCCTGACCTTTACTCACCCTGGGCCAAGAGCTCCATCTGTCTTACCACAGATGTCTTCAGACATCCCATAATACCTCTTGGGGACTTTGTTGATGTTTGCTTTTTGAGACAGGGTCTTACTGTGTCATCCAGGCTGACCCAAAACTTTCTATGCTTCTGCCTCTGGGATGCTGGGATGACAGGATACCAGGATGCCACACCTGAGTCAGGCTCAGTTCACACTTTTTTAAGAGACAGGGTCTCCCTGTAGCCCCAGCTGGCCTGGAACTTGCCGTGTAGACCAGGCTGGTCCAGATCTATAGAGATGCACCTGCCTTTGCCTCTGGAGTGCTGGGATTAAAGATGTGTGCCACCATGCTCAACTCTTTGTTTTGTTTTTTCTTTTTAGTTAGGGGATTCATTTTAGTTCCCAGATTAACCTTGAAGTCCTGGGCCTAAGTGCTCCGCCTGCCTCAGTGCCTGGACTGTACTCACACCTGCTGCGCTTGAACTCACTCACTCTCTTTCTCGTTTTGAGATAGGGTTTTGCTGTATAGCCCAGGCTGGCCTCGAATTCATGAGCCTGCCAGTGCTGGGTTATAGGACAACAGGCTTAGCTGGTGGAATTGGGCTCACAGGCTGAACTCCCAGAAGTGGAAAGTCAGATCCTGAGTTAGGAGCACTTGCTTCTTTGTTTTGTTTTGTTGTTGTTGTTTGTTTGTTTTCACATAGCCCTTCCTCTCTTCTTGGGGTGGGAAATGCTGGGGAATGGAACCCAGGGCCTCGCCCATGCCAGGCAAGCGCTCTCTCACTGAGCTATGTCCCCAGCCCCACACATTTTATGTGGGACTTTGGAAAGCTCTCAAAATAAAAGGTAAGAAGCAGGCACTAGGCATGCGGGCTTACACCTGCCATCTGAATGTGGTAGGCTGAGACAGGAGGATTGCCTTGAGTTCAAGGTCAGCTTGGACTACTGGATAAGACCCTGCCCTATCTCAAAGCAAGAAATTGGGGCATGATGGCCTTTAATCCCAGCACTCCATAGGCAGGTGGATCTCTGAGACCCAGGCCAACCTGGTCTACAAGGCGAGTTCTAGGCCAACCTTGGTTACAGGGAGACCCTAAACAGGAAAGAAAGGGACTGGCGTAGCTCAGTTGGTGCACTTTCCTGGTATCAACAAGGCCCTGGCTTTGCCACAAGTTCTGGGCCTAGTCTGCAAAGTAGAGCCTGATTCAAAAAAAAAAAAAAAACAAATACATTGCTAGTCCAGGCCCCACTGCTCCTAACTAGGAAGATGGTGGATCCAGCCTGTAGGAAACAAGGCATATGTACAAATTACTTCCCAACTTCTGTTCTAAGAAGCTCCAGATGTTCCTGGGCCATTGGCACATCACAGGTTAAGCGTCCTGGGTGTGGAGCTGGCAGCAATAGGTCCACAGGCAATGAGCAACAGTCACCGGAATTGCTTGGGCCAGGCCACCAAGCAGGGCTCTTCCCACAATCTAGAGGCCCGGTGGGAGGGAAGAGCTGTATTTCCCACCAACAGGCAGCGAATGCCTCATCCGAGGCAGAGAGGAACACCAAGAATAAAGGTGTTTGAAGGTTATCTCTCCCCATCGGAGGAGAATCAAAGCCTAGGGAATTTGAAGCAGAAAATGGATGGGCAATACTGTGCCCTGCCGCCAGGCAGAGCTGATGGGTAGGACCTGTGCAGTAGCCAGCTGCAAGAGCCTGCGTGTCTCAGGGTGCACTGCCAGCCTGGACCCGCCAAATGTTAGGGTGTGCTGGTGGTCTACACTGTCCCTTGTAGATGCTGGCAGAGGGGCCCCTTGGGTGGCCACCAGAATCCTTCTCCTCCCACCTGGAGGTGAGTTCAGATCCCATCCATCCCAATGGCAAACCTGGAAAACAGGCCAGCACAGGATCGTTTTACTGTTTCCACATTCCAAGGTCCTGTCCCAAAGAACGACTTGCTCTGCCCAGAACCCAAGCCAGCTCCAAGAGCCGCTCAGCTCCTAGGATTTGCCTGGCCAAGGCCCAGCCTCCTGTGGGAGTTTCCATGGCACCCATCTCTGGGCCTCTGAGCCCCCAGAATACTATACTGTCTTGGGTCTAAAAGAAAAAAGTCTGGGGTGATGGGGCAGGCCTGGGATCCCTGTGTACTCAAGAGTAAGAAGAGTTTTGGGTTCTGGGCCAATGTCGGCTACATAGCAAGGTCCTGTCTTTTTAAAAAAAAAGGCTGGAGAGCCAAGCATGGTGTTGTACACCTTTAATCCCAGCGCTCAGGAGGTAGAGGCAGGCAGATCTCTGTGAGATGGAGGCCAGTCTGGTCTACATAAGGAATTCTAGGCATCCTGGACTACAGGGAGACCTACTTCAAAACAAAAAAGGGCTGGAAAGAGGCTGGGCCCCACATGCAGGGAAGGCCCCTGGGTTCTACCTCGGCACCTTATGAACCAGGTGGTGATGCACATCTCTCATTGGGAGTTAGAGGCAGGAGGATCAGGAGTTCAGGGTCATCCTTGGCTATGTAGTGGGTTTGACGCAGCCTGGGCTAGGTGAGACTTTGTCTCAATAGATAAAAAGGACCCGTTGGCCTTCCTCGTGAGGAGTGACTGGCAAGGATTAGATTCAGGGGCTCAGAGGCCTGTCAGGGTCGGGAGGAAGTCTGGGTTTTGCTTCTTTGGGGTGGGGAGGGGTGGGGCTCAGGTCCCCTGGTTGCAAGCACAGCATCTAGGGCACAGCGGAGAACGGAAGGTTCCGGGCCTCTTCCCCAAACTGAGGAAGTTCTGGGTGCGATGAAAGAGGCCTGTGGCTCGGAAGCTCACTTCTGTGTGTTCTGGTGACGTTACTTCCAGCCAAAACTGCTGGCTCGCTTCCTGACCTGCAGCTGGGGGAATGCAAGCCTGGCTGACCCTTTTTCCCCCTTTCTCCCCCTTTTTTTTTTTTTTAAATCTCCCAACCCTTTTTTTTTTGGCCTGAGAGGGAGGGAGGGAGAAAGTTTGCAGAGGCAGACTGGTTAGTCTGAGCTGGGAAGAAAATGACTCACCAGCTACTCCACTTTGTGTGTGAGGGGTTCTGGGGACAGAACCTGGAGTCCCCCGTCCCAGCCTCCCTCCAGTTTGTGTGGAGAGAAATGAGCAAGCATGGGGGTGGGCAGGGACCCCAGTCTGTGAGAGTGAGCAAGTTTGGGAATTGGGCTTCTGCCTTAAGCGTCTACATTGGCTGAGACACACACACGGCAGGGGTGAAACCTCAGGCTTTGCACATGCCAGGCAAGTCTGTCTGCTAGAGATGGGACCCAGAGCTTCCTGCATGCTCAGTACCAAGAAACACCCAGACCCCACCCTGATTTCCCACCACGTGTGACAGTTGCATGCAAGTCCACGTTAAATCTGAGAGCTGAAAGTTCGCCTGTGACTCAGAGCCCTGGGCTCCCCAAAGACTCCTCAGGTGCTAATCACACTGCTTATCTGGGTGTGTTGATGCCACCCCCACCACCCCAATTACAGCCTGGGCCCAGAGCTTCCCACAGTGCCCTGTCTCCCTGGAAAAAAGTGGGAGCTGGTACATCTTGGGAGACCTGCATGCCCAGCTGTTTGTGAGACCCCCTTCTGTGGGGGGACAGGATGGAGAAAAGGTGTGTTGGGGGCAGGGACTCCCTGTTCCCCCTCTGTTGTCAATACCCACATCTAGGCCCTTCCAGAGCAGCCTCTGCTGCAAGTGTGCATGTGTGTGCATGCGTACATACACATCTCTCCCTCCATACAGTAGCAGCCTTTGACCTGGGGACCTGGGCCACAGCTGCATGCTCCACCCCGCCCCCACTCCAGCCCTCCCCAATCCCTCCTATAGTTATCAAGGTTCCAACATGGAGCTGATGGGGGAAACTTCTAGTGAGGGCCCCGGCCAGCTAGCCCCAGGCTGTCAGAGGTGCTGGGTGTGGGAGGAGCAGGAGGACTGCCCTGGCCTCTGCTGCTCCTTGGTGGGGAGGGAGTGGCTTTGTGTTTATGTGTTTGTAACATGTATGCACACGTGGGTGGACGTCAGAGGTCACATCACTCACCTCA